GATTTTGAGATGAGATGACCACATGAGAAGGAGAATCGAGTTCTTGAAGTAATTTTTGAATCACAAAAGGTAAACGTTGACGACACATTTCGAATAAAGAACTACAAGATTGAAGAATAAGTTCATCTGTCTCTAATGGTGATAGGTGAGGATCAGCTTGATTTGAGAGTTTAGCCATGATCTTGTTAATGAGAGCATCGATCAATTTATCTTCACTAATCGTACTTGGAGAAGGACTACCGATTTGAAATGAGTTTGGACCTATTGAAGGAGGATGTCGATTATGATTTTGTCTTGATTGATGATAAATATTTTGAAATTGATGATGATGAGTAGGTTGAAATGGAATGTTATTGTTCAGATTTCCAGGTGAGTCTCTTCCATAGATTGGATGATCCATGGTAGTGGTAGAATGATTAAAGTGATAAGGTGAGGAAGTACTCGATCGAATAGATTGATCGATGATAGGTGTTGGTGGTAATGGTGCTTGTTGTTGTTGTTGTTGTTGTTGACCACTTCCTGGTAGAATTGATGCTGAGTTAGTTGAAGAACTGGTGATTTGTTTGGATAGTTGATTATTAAATAATGCCGGATGTGATGAAAAGGATGAATAATACATCTTTTAGAACTACAGAATATTCTATGTAAATCAATTCAAATCAATTCAACTTGTACAATCAACTTTGTCCTCGACTTCTTGAATAGTTCTATGTAGTAATAGGTTCTGATACTTCTTATTTTTGGCTTCAGAGACTCGATCTCAACAAGAAATACATATTGGAGGATAATACAAATCAGACTTTGTAAAATTGTAAAGCTCAAGTGCACTGTGCGAGTGACCATTTGAGAATTGAGAATTGCAAAATCAATTCATTTCACTCGCTCTTCTCGCTTCAATTACTATTAGCTAAGTGATCTATTCACACACCAATCGCCTATCAAAGAAACATGCTTTTACATACTTGAATATTTTAAATGAAATGTTGCTTGTCTCTATCATCTTGTCTTCCTTTCATCCGTAAAGTATATTCAAACCCTAGGATTTAATTTCAACCCTTCAAAACCTCCGCATTCAGTAAGCTAAGCAAAAGTTCCACGCTCGCCTCGCAAGGCTTAACTTATTAAGCGAGCGAGGGACTTACGTACTCCAACTTACACCTGAGGGTAGAGAATTTTGCAGGGAGCCTTTCTCGTTCCCTTTAGGCTTCTACATCATTCCTTGCCCAGGATTTGTATATGGTCCAAAGTATGTAGAAAGTTATGCGACGGTATCTGATTCTTGCACTGAGTCTACCCTATTTTTTGCCCTTCTTACCCAATATATGTTTCAAGATTGAGTCTTCAGCAAATTTGGACTCGAGAAGGAGGTTAGGTGTGTGATTTTCCTTCAAGAGCCAATTTTTGATGTAAACTTTGTGCAAGAGGGGAGCACTTTCCACGGGAAAAAACTAAGCAAAATTTGTGCAAGATCAAGGCGCACAACTTTCGACTTTGGGCCATAGACTGGGTAGGGAACGATGTAGAAGGGAATGAAAAAGGCACCGCGAAGAACGCTAACCTAATAGGAAAGAATCTCTGAACTCAGATCATCGTGGAGGAGTGTTCATTTGATCATTGGAACCTGAGGAGTCAGTACTAATCAAAGGAGGCATATTATTCTGATAAGTTTCTAGCCGACTCCAACCCATATTCATGTCAGCGCGCTCTTCTCTTTGATTCACCATCATGATCGCAATGGAGGATGTATGTTGAAAATGAAACACGATTCACAAAGCACTCAATGAGTTTCAGATGTCAATATGTCGTCAATCCACTTCCATGGATGATTGATCGCACCCAGCATTTACATATTCTCGGCGCGTGTTGGGGCAACTTCAAGCATACAGGCCTTGAGATAGATTTCTTGAAACCCGGTACCTCATCGGCCCTGTAGCTCACACTGCGTGAAAAACCCTGTCGGAACCGGCCCCGCGACAGCCTGTCGCCCGGCATATGTATATATTTACATAGCCAGCGACAGATACACTTTTGGCCAGCGACACTTCAAGTTTTCCTGCGACAGCTGGTTTGGTTTTGCGACATCTCATCCCCACTCCCCCTCCGATCTGCCTGCGACATCTCCTTCGCCCTTCTTCCCTCTTCATTGCACCTCTTGATCTGGATCCGCCAAATCCTTCTCGAACCACTCCAGCAGTCCAGACTCCAAATCTCGAACGACTTTAGCAGTACAGCAGCAGTTGAAATCATCAGTGACGTAAAGGATCAAACGTCTCAGGCCAGGTTAGTCCGGTTTTCCTTTCACATCCCTCACTGTTTTCATTTATTTTCTCACAGCACAATGGCAAATTTTCCTGAAGGGGAAGCTCGTCACATGAGCGGTCAATCTCAAAGGGTCTTGTCATACCCGAGCCGTCTGAAGATCTCACCAGCCTACTTGCTTGCGTATATAAACCCCTACGATCTGGTGTCTTCTCACCGCTCATCATACATTTGTTTTCCCCCGTCTTTTCTAGAACTCTTTCCACTCTTGTATACCCATTTCATAAACCTATACATATACCGTTTTCATCGACATTGACGACCCTAACCCCTTTCCTCTTCTCTTTGTTTTTTAATTCCAATCAATCATGGCCGATGATGATATCCCGATGTCCGAAGGTACCTCTACGACCACTCCAGTCACGTCTACGATCCCTCAAGCCACCGCTGTAACCTGGTTTCTGATCAAGTGAGTTAGCTTACCAGTAGGCGTTGAGTCATTATGATGATAATCTGAGTCGGCTTGTGATGTTACTGAACCTGAGTCGCTATCGTTATTGTCTCTTGCAGAAGTCAAGTGTGAAGCTTGGGGTAGATGAGGTAATTGAGGTAGTCTGATATCGCGTTGATGATGACTCAGTTGAGTTCTACGTGACTGAAATTGGCCTTGTATGGTTTTTCCATCTGGACCCGTGCATGTTTTGATCACACATTGCAAGCAGGTGCAAATGATTTCTGGGAGAAATCAAAGAGGTCAATGAGTGATATTGATCCTAAAATCAGCGTAGATGACAAAGGTACTTACTCGGCGGATCTCCCATTGAAAGATGGAGATGGATCGGCTACGAGGTGGAATCCAAAGTCGGACGTGGTGAAATGAGATCGCAAATTGAGGTGAGTTGTGATATCTAATAAGCTGGACAATCAAAGTCAAGATCGGTTAAAGGGCAAAGGTGTCGCAGCACCGACCTATGAGCTGAACAGGGATGAGATGTCGCAAAACCGAACCAACTGTCGCACGAAAACTTGAAGTGTCGCTGGCCAAAAGTGTATCTGTCGCTGGCTATGTAAATATATACATATGCCGGGCGACAGGCTGTCGCGGGGCCGGTTCCGACAGGGTTTTTCACGCAGTGTCAGTTGGTTAGAGCGCGTGCTTCACATTGAAGCTCAAGGATTCGCACGAGGCCCCCGGTTCGAGCCCGGGCAGAGTCACTTTTTGACGTTGGAAGTGCGCTAGTCCAATAGTTTCTTTCTTTGTTGGAGATGTTTTGTTGGTGTGTTTAACATTTTAGGTGTATATCTTCTTTCGCATGATCAGTGACTTCTGTTTGATTGAGTTGTTTGAAACACGTCTTCTGCAGATTTTACATCAGAAATTTTCAGCTGGAAATAGAAGAGCTTCAATCCGGTGAGATCACTTGAGCTTCAAGAAAGGAAAATAAACCAGAGCTTTAAAAGAAGTTACATAGAGCCTTTGGTATCTATCTGTGATTGTAAAACCTCTTTGTGTTGAATATTGGTTCAAATGGTCTTATAAGTTATATAACTCTACTTGCTCAAAAACATACCTTCAATTTTCTTCAGTGATACCTTTTCTGTCTGGCTCAGAATTTCTTTGGGCAAACTGGAATTCTCATCTTACTGGTGACCACTATCATTTCTTTGGCTGTTAATACTTGTGTGGGTGTCACACACGCCACATAAGTTGTGCTCTGTTTCAATCCTTTTGGTTCATATTTGAAAGGTGAAATAGAAATCAAATGAGCCCATTCATTGCATGATATAAATCAAAACTGATAGAATAAATGAAACAGAAGAACTATTTTTTCTATAAATTAGGCAATCAATTTTTGAATATTGGTCATAGGAAGATATGTAGATCACTTTTCTACTCAAATCCATTGGCTTGTTTCTCTTGTATCAATCAGAACTTTGGGTCCTTCAGGGATGCTTTGGATGGGTTTGTCAGGGAGCTTAGATAGCTGTGATCTGTGACCATGAGACAAAGTTTTGAATGAAATATGGCCAAGTGTATCCTTGGATTAAAAATACTTGGTATGGTGGGTGTCAGGATGCCTCCTTAATTTGAATTGTGAAATCTGATTTTCATACTGTTGAGTTCTTTCACATACTCAGATCTTACAGTGTATGCTTTAGTGTATGGTCAATGTTAAAATTCTGAACCGTTCAAGTTGAAGCTTTTGTTATGGCTTGATGAGCGTTTCTGTTGGATGCACACAGCATTTTCCTAAACTCTTGCTTCTACAGGCATGAGTCCAATGTCTTGAACCACAAGACACACAAAGGCTGGATGGTTTGCACCAGTAATCATGACAGCCACTCTCCAAACACCTCTCACATTGCTCAGGCACCAATTCATACATATGGCCCTTGATTATTTTTCCTTTAATTATGATTCCAAATTCATTGATCCAATTAAAAAGACCTAAATATTCAAGGTACATATGATCATTAACTGCCCATTTCCACATGTTTAACAGTTTAATTATTTGATATTTTGTGGCTTCATAAGCTTAGAAACACAAATCATGTTGACCAAACTATTCTTGTTGAGGTTTTCCATCATGGGTACTTCTGTAATATCTACCTTGTTCAAACTTGACATTAAAAAATGAACTCTGGACCATCTCTAGGTCCCCTTATTCCCATATATATCTCATAAGTCATTTTGCTTCCAAGATAAATATTGTTTCAATATTCACAGTGTCTGAAGAAATGATAGAATGGCAGACGACTCTGATGGGTGTACTTTCAATTGATGCTTGTAATTGTTCCAGAGCAGTCTATATTTTCTCAATGGCCCATTTGGATCCCAGAAGCTTGGATGAAAATACACCTTCATGTCTACAGACAACAACCCAGCATTGAGTGTGATGATCTTTAAATTCACATACAAAGGAATCATTTCTGTTGGTGTCAAGCCCATATCTGGGTCTTGTTGATATGGATCTGCAGTAAAAATATAGCCAAATTCAAGTGTTGGGAAGGATTTCAATGAATCAAGTCAGATTATGAAAACTCTTGGAGATCTTTATGAAAAGATCAAAACTGACACTTTTAGATAAATAATGCAGCTGGCAAGTGACTCCACAATCACAGTCCCCATAATAGTCATTAGTACACCTACTCATCTCTGGGGAGCATTGAAAGCTACTGGTTTCCTCTTTAGGATCACCAAATTAGTGCATGATAAATCTGCTTGGCAATACCTGTGAGCTTGAAAAGCCATTGATGGCTTTGTAGAGATGGCTAATCTGTTATGACCTGACTTGGGGGGTCTTGATGTGTGGCAAGGGAAGAAGGTGGTGCTGAGATATGATGATGATTGTAGAATGAGGAAAGGAGCACTACACAATGGATCTTACTTGTTACCAGAATAAGGGATTGAGGTATCACATGTTGAGATCTGTACTCCTGAGATCTGTGGTATGAGATCATAACAGAATCAAGATCAAAAGCCATGAAAATGCCTTATTTGTATCTTTATGAGTGAAATAATTTCAATTATGGGGCATATTGATCATCACCAGTAGCTTCAAGTTCAGAGAAAGAGATTTTTTATATGATCAGCATTCTTTGTTTCAGAGGCTCAGAGTCTTTGGAATAAACAAACATCTAAAACAAATCAAGGGCACATTACACTTTTGCAAATTCAAAACAATGCCTAGGCAAGAGTTTACTCTTAGAAGTGATCTGTAGACTGCTCTTCTAAATCAAACAACAAGAATAATTGTTTTGAATGACTGATGATAAGCAACAAAAGAGCCAACCAACTCAAAAGCTTATAAGAATACATGTAAAAGGAGTGATAAGCATCACTAGAACAATAGACTCACATGCACAAATTCCTTCATGTAAGGTGAATCCAAATACCAGGAAGTGATGTGTGGGCAGACCTGTTGAGCAAAACCAAAGATGAACAAAAATCTTTTTGAAAACATCCATCAACAATTGACAATGAAGCTTAGACACACAAGTAGGGACTTGGGAAAAGCAGTTACAAGTATATATAATCATGTTTTCAAGACAACAATAGGATACAGGAATTGGTTCACAAAACATTGGCAAGGTTCTAAAACTATGAAGAGCAACAAATTTCCAACAATATTTCAAGTGAGGGGCTTGTCTGCATGACTTCCCTGTGCTAAAAGTCAGATGAAACAAAATGACTATCTACCAATGCTGTCCCAGCCAAAGGTTAAGCTCAAGAAGACCTTTGAATTATTGAAGCCTTGCATATGGGCATACTGCCATCTGTTTTATAAATTATCTGACACACCCACACTGCACTCACCACCCCAGGGGTGTGGCTCAGGTGCGCAGTGATAGATTTGCAATGTGAGGAACTCTGCTTTGCTCATCAAGGATTGTGTTTCAAAAACTATTTCAATATTGCAAAGTAAAAAATCAATCAAGAAAACAATTATTATGAAAGAAAGGGTAAAAAAAATCTATCATCTTCAAGAAAACTTGCAATGTCAATGTCAATCGTAATGAAATTTAGTAGAAGAAAAAAAACTCTCAAAGGATCTAAAGATTTCAAACAAAAGAAGATGATTAAAAAGAGTAATTGAAATCAAAAAGAAGAAACACTCTGTTACATGATAAAAAAACCGAAAAACTACGCGATAGCACACGCAATGAGAAATCAAAAATGAAGACAAAACTGTTTTTAGTAAAAATCATCTGAACTGGTCTTTCCATCTGTTCTAACCCATAATCCATCAAATGCAGGTCTAACCCAAATCGGGTTCATAGCTCCAACGATCCGAAGAGCTTCTTGAGTGAATTCTTCTGGATGATTTCCTAATTCAATCTCTTTTGTATGTTCTTCATTTGTCTTCTCATTAGCAATTCTTCCTTCTCCAATAGCCTCACATGCCTTTTCCCAACATTCGTGTCTATGGATGGAAGTAGTCAAATAAGTCTAGGTTGAAAGGAATGAAATTCAGTGTTTAAAGAAACTTACGTGACTCCATGAGTAAAACCCAGAAGATAGGTTCGTTGAGCACCTAAGCGACTTGCAGTTGATACCGCTTCGGCTAATCCGAAATGCGAAGTATGAGGCTTGAGTCTTAATGTGTCAATGATAAGTATAGGCAGAGGTGGAACACCCATAGGTATAGGTTCAGAGTCGAGAGAAGTGGCAGCAGTAGAAACGGGTGATGTAGAGCGAGTGATATCAGAATCCGTATCTGATCCTTCTATGGCCATATTAGGTGATAAGTGAATAGGAGCAGGTGAGGATGTAGAGGATGTAGGAGGCAAAACGCCTAGAGCTGCGTAGGTTGACTCTGGAATTGATGAAACGTCAGACATATAGCAGATTGAACGGTCGAAGAGAAAGGCCAGGCAGCCATATGGACCCTCGACGGCTCCGGTAGGACCAAAATAACAGCCGTGATTAACTAAAGTAAAAGAAATCAAGGACATGAAGAGATCACATGTCAAAATTTGGCAAGATTGATGGTTTGAAACGAGATGGGCTGCGGACCTTTGAGAGGCGAGATACGGACTCCAAAAAGGTCAAAAGGTTGTCCATCTTCAATGATGTTCCATTGGAAGGCAGGTACATCGCCGCCTGATCGTGTTGGAAGAGTGATAAGGTCAATTGATAGATTCATGGTTTAGATCAAAGAGGTAGCTTACCACCAGTCGCATTTGCCGAGTTGACCATGTATGGAAACATACGTTCCACCTAAAAAATCCCGACAAGCCATGATATCAACTCAAAAGGTCAATCTTGGAAAGACCCTCAAGGTTCGAAGCTGACCTCTGAAAATGTGAATTTGTCACAATAGATAGGTATCGAGGGTTGTATGACAGCATCCAACGTCCACGCTATCAGAACAGAAAACGAGTCAGTCAATACTATCCTCTAAAGCGACAAGAAAAATGTCAAGGTTTAAACGAACCTCTTAAGTCATCCAATCCGTTCTTGATATGGTAAAGAAGATTCGAGTAGGGAAGACATATCAAACGGTCAGGATTTGACTAAAAATCGAAACACTTTCAAAACACTTGACTCACAATAGCATCAGCACTAAAAGGTCATGGAAAAAACGGTCAACAAGATTAGTATTCGATCAAAACCATCGTGTGTATGTACATATGTAAGCCAAAATTGAAAACCAAAACTCAACTGAGGATGAGTAAGTAAAACAGCATCAATAGTTGATAACTCATTAATTGGAAAATGTTGACGAGCAGCTTCACAAAAACTTTTACCAACATCAATCAAGATAGTTTTGGGAGTAGTCATAGGATTTTGATCATTTTGAGTAGATTGATTTGAAGGATTGGTAATACGAAGAATTGCAGAAGTATTACGACGAATGTTTTTTGAACCGGTTGGTGAACGAGTTGAAAGACAACAAGTACAAGCTTTATCTTTTGAAATTAAACAACTTATGACTGGTACTTGACTTGAAGTTCCTATTATCAAAAGAAAACCAATTCGAATTAATTATCGGTTCATGTGTTTTTGATAGATTATCAGTGATGAAACTTACCACTACCGAGAATCATGATTTCTAAGCTTGTCATTTTGATAGTAAAAAGTTGAAATTGATAAAGTCTTGGAATGGGAGTTATGGTTTTGTAGTGGAATAGTTTTTAAGAATGAGTTGAGGATATATAAAGTTTGAAAGATAAATTGGTGATAAGAGGGAAGATGAAAGTCTGATGATGATGATAGTTGATATAGAGTGTTCTCCATTTTCGATAGAGAGCTGAAATTGTAAACTTGATGATGATTTTAATTTTGACTGTGTAACTTCGATTCACAAGGCTTGAAATCCATTGAGATCTGGACTGGTTCGATAAACCCTTAAGGCCCCGTTTGGGAGCGGTGACAAAGTGTAATGTACTGCAAAAGTGTACTGCATTTTTGGCCCCAATAATGCAGTAGAGATGAAAACCCGCACTTGTAGTGTGGTACAGTTATAATCTCTGTTTTTGGTCATAATCGTTTGGCAATTCAACACCACTCGCGCTGATTTTCTCCTGACTGTGGTATGTATGTATGTATACCCACAAAACCTCTGACATCGTTCGTTCTCGATCCACACTCAAACAGACTTAACAATCTTTCATCATTAATTCACTTGCTCGGTCATCGTAACTCATCAAAAGTTGTGAACCTCATCACCAATCAACTGGAACTTTTCTCTTGTCAAGGAATCATCTTGATCATCTTTTTCATATTGTTAGCGAATTTGAAAAGATACATATCCTTTGATATTCATGAGATTGATTGAAGGAGAAACAAGGTTATCAAAGCGAGTGACAGAATTTGAGAAGCGACGAGATTGATTGAGGGAACGGTGGATTGAAGGAAGAAGTGATAAAGGTACAGTGCGATGAGGTCGATTGACAAACTAATATTGAACTCGTGGTTGTCTTCATCTTGAAGTGTGAAGGTGTTGAAGATGGGTTGATAGTGAGTTTTGTAATCGAACGGATGGAAGGAGCCAATGAATTACAAAGGGAAGGGGAAGAGATCAAATTTGACGAAGTCCCCTTTCACCGTGCGGATTTATTTTTCATAAACAGCTTTTTGTCAATTATCGCAATACCACAGTATTGTCAGATTATTGTCTAAATACTGTGGTACAATACTGCAGCAAAATAAGGTACCAAACGTGGTAAGATCATACCACTGTGGTATTGATGCAATTACGAAAATACCGCGGTAAAATAACCGCTCCCAAACGGGGCCTAAGCAACCTAATACAATGTAAAACCGTGTCACTCACAGTCATCCTTCTTCACTTCCCTCACTACTGGTCGAGAAACTTTTGGGAACAATCAATCTTCGATGGGCTGATCCACTTCTTGCTCATCCATCTCATGGCGCATGATGGCAATCCACTGCCAAATCAATCTGCCACTGCCAGCTTCTTTCTGAATTTTCTCTTTTCTTCTGAGACAACACAATCCGAAAGCATGTGAAAACATCTTCCCACTGTGGGATGTGTTGTCTCCACTTCTGGTAGACTGAGTCTTGTCACTCTCATGTCTTCTCTCTAGGAAGCGCGCCCTGCGGGCTTGCAAGGTTTTTTGCTGAGATAACACCCCTTGGGGAGGAAGAGGAAAAAAAAGAGTAGAAAGACAATTATTTGGACTCGTACCCAAGGAAGAAAAAAGAAAAACCAAAACATTAAAAGTTGTGATAGGTGATAGTGAGAAATTGATGAAGTACGGACTGCTGGGCAATAACAAATTTTTCTAAGATTGAGAGGAGAGAAAAAAAGAAAGGAGCATAAAAAAAGAAAGAAATCCGGACACTGAGACTTGAAACACAACACGCTGATACAGAACCTATAAATGAAACTTCTCTTTTTTTTTTTTTTTTTTCTTTTCATCGGACTGTAACTGGGACGAAATTAGTTATCTTATAAACAGCAAGACGTAGGAAAGGCTGAGCTCTAGCTTTTCCTGTGGTATGTTTTTTGTGAGTTTTTTTTTTATTTTTATTTTTTTTATGCGGCTTGAACGTCGTAGAGTTGGATGTGGGTGGGTGGGCGTTTCTACAATTCTTAGGAGGAGGGAGAGAAACTGTTTTGTGATAAGACTTTCTTGGATCTTGATGTCTCAGATTGTCGACTCCTAAGATTTTGTTCGTAGGCTGTTGTTCTGGAGGGAAGAATCAGGCCTACTGTGCTGAGCGGTTAGTTTGGATACTCGCGGCTCCTTGGCCATGAGATGTCACGTATGTGGTTGGCTGCGAGTGAGAAACAACCGTGCGTCAGCTGCGGAGTCTTACTACAATCTTGTGACATCAGGCTCTTGTCTGGAAGAATCCGATCACCATATCCCACTCGTTTAATCGGGACATCAAACCCAAGGGATGTGTTGTCTCCACTTCTGGTAGACTGAGTCTTGTCACTCTCATGTCTTCTCTCTAGGAAGCGCGCCCTGCGGGCTTGCAAGGTTTTTTAGGCGAAGCCGCGCCCCGGCTGTAGGCTGGCGCGTGGTGACATTGCTGAGATAACACCCCTTTTTCCACCCGCCTATCTGGTGTGAAAGACTAGGCCCGGGTAGTAGCGGTGAGAGTGGTGAAGGGGCGGAAAAAGAGAGAAAGAGCAAAGATGGGGGAGAGAGAAAGGTATAGTAGGTGTGCCGTCGCGCCTGACATGCCTGCGCTCTGTCCTTTGGTCCGGCGTCGCCTCCGTTGGCCTCTGGTAGTGGGGTGCGTAGAGGCAAAGGTAGAAAGGTACCGCGCCGGACATCGTGTGTGAAGAAGGAGAAATAAATTGAAGCGGCGAAACGTTCTGGTACTTACATGTCATGCAAAAATGATTTGTGCGCCCAGGTGGCCGTCGATGGAGAGGGGGTGAGCTCGTGTCGCCGCGAGTCTCATGATTGGATGCCCCCTGACGTACGTTTTGAACGCCTCGGAGGACCATCGGCCCAGATCCTGTATGTGGTCCATAGGTAGGCCGGCTTGTGCGTAGGCGGTTGCTCCTCCTGACCTCATGGAGTGACCCGATTTGTTTGTGTCAAACAACTCGCGGAAACAAGAAAGGAACCAACTGCGAGTTGGTTTGGACCCGTCCATCTTCTGAAACAGAGGTCCGTCATTGGAGAACCGGCAGTCCCTCCTCAATAGGTACTTTGAGAGTGCCTTGATTGGGCAGGCGCCGTCAATGGCGCAAGATGGTAGCACCACGGCTGTCCCTTGGAAGTATGGATCCGTTTTTGAGTGCGGTAGAGTGTATTTTGCAAATTCGCCGCATTTTGAGAACGAGAACGACGACCTGAGTATGGTGCGGCTGTTGTTGCGGTGAGCCACGGAGTCGTGCATCACTAACTCGCCTAGACGATGTAGCCCATGGAAGCCTGTGAGGATCATCGCGGTGAAGAGAAGGTCGTCGAATGCGAACCAGAACGTCTTGGAGACGCGTATTAGGTCGGGAATTGTGAGAGGGTCCTTACGGACTACTGGAAGGGAAAATTGTACTTTGACTCCGCGTAGTACCTTTCTGACTCTTGGCGAGTTAGTCGCTAGTCGTACGTCGGAGTAGATGGGTTCGAATGATGCTGCTATTGCTGCTAGGTATCCCTTGATGGAGGATGGCGCTATTGGTTTGTTGGTTCTTGGTGAGATGTGTCTACATAGTTCGGAGACGTATGAGCAGAGAGTGTTGACCGTCGGTATGGCGGGTAGTTGGTTGCGTATGCAGAAACGTAGGAAAGAGTTGAGTCCTGATACGTAGGCGGATTTTGTGGTTGAAGCTAGGCTGTGGGCGGCGTCAGCTTTGGATAACAGTCCTAGCAGCTGACGCCTGGATTGGTTTGGTGGTTGCGTGTTCATAGACGGTATCCCCCGTCAGGGAAATGATGTGGTGAAGATAGTGTGGAGATGACAGCTGTGGGTTCTAGTTCTAGTACTGTGCTGATGACTCCTCTTGACAGCGTGTCGGCGTACTTGTTCTTCTTTCCTGGGAGATGGGCGACTTTCACGTCTGCCCCGGCGGCGACAACCAGACGTATTATCGTTCTGAAAAGGGGACGTACTAGTGGTATCGGGCTGTGTGACTGAAAGAGGTTGCAAACGTTCATGGAATCTGTGACTATGAATATCCGTTTTTTCCCGTTGTCCGTAGCCATCGATATGGCGTGGCAGACCGCTAGTAGTTCCATCCAGTATATATTGCGTTCCGGAGCTGGCAGGCGTTTGTGATAGCCATGTCTGGAATTTGGGAGCCAGACTCCAATCCCGTACATGCAGGCGTCAGTGACCAACAGAGCGTCTGCCGACGAAATCGCCCAAATGGACGCTTCTAGGAACAGTTGTCCAGTAGAGCGTTCTAGGCAGTCTGCCAGCCAACGTAGATCGTCTTGGATCTCTTTATTGACGTGTATCAACGCTGTAGTATTTAAAGCTCAACAAGAGCTTTACAACACCTAAGAAGGGATAATCTACTACGTGTAATATAGTAGAAGTTGCCTAAAGACTGCCTTCTTCAAAGAAACCAGCACAAGGGCATTTGCTGACCACTTTGTGATAACAGAGAAAAGGATAAAAGGCACCAGAGAAATAAAGCAATACTGTTGTTAAGTATTATTCCCAGATTTTAAGCGCAAAAAAGTCACACACTATGTTTATTACTAGCAATACTGTTGTAAGTATTATTCCCAATTAGACTTGTAGTCTTTAACACACGTAAATAAATTTCTCCTTGCTTTTGAAGGGGCGGATTTAAGTGATCTTAGTACAAATATAGTAAATAAATGATGATTTATAACACTACAACAAAGGTATAAGATGCAGAAAAGGGCGCTACAATCCCAAAATCATCAAGGAGTACTTATATCCACATGTAACAATCTTTACAACAGTCAACAGCCTCAAAAACCAATCAAATCCGCCTAAATAACCCTAAAAACCATGTAATGACGCAATGTAATGATCTTGTTACTAATGTATGATGTAATTTTCACAGCCAAAAGTGATCAATGACGCAATGATGTAATGTACAGCACTTCTTAAGATGAATACAGGTGATTTTT